GGAGTAGGGGTTGTTAAAAAATTGCTGTGCTGGGAAGATGAAGCTTTTTCTGTTAAAAGGTTGTTGGTAGGAGCTCTGATATGATCTGTTCCGACTATTCTAGTAGGTTTTTAGAGATGTGTGGCCATTCTTGTGCCAACTCTCATCAAACTGCGCTTTGGGGGGTTCTCGTGGCCTAGAGGTTAAGGTGTTCACCCCTCATTCAATAGGTACAGGGTGCGAAACCAGATGGCAACGGAAAATTTTCTTCTAAATTTTTTCGAAAAAAATGTTCTCCATCCACATCCTTTCCTTCTCTCTAACAATGTTCTGTCGTCTGTTTTCGTCTCCACTCTCTGCTCCCACCCCTTCACCTCCTTTGCCCCCTCCTCTGGGCTCCTGACTCGTTCTACAGCCTTTTTATCGCTTCTCCTTGGCTCTTTCTTACTGCTATCTTTCAGCCACAACCCTGATCTTATGGTATGAAAGATCTACACCTAGCCTTCTCGGACTAGGGCGAAAAAACTCGAAGGTCCCGTGTGCAAGTAGCGCATGATAAAGATCCCTTGTTGGTCCAAAATCGAAAACTTAGGCTTTGGCCGCCACCCGCGAAAAAATAAAAATTTCCCAAATGAAAATGTTAATGTGACCCGCTCGCTCATATGACCTTATGCTGTTGAGAGCGCTGTAAAACACTTACCATCCCACCCCCCACCCCAAAACCCCCCCCAAAAAACCAAGGGAAAAAAACCCAACCTCTCTTCAATTCAGGAATAAATTTCTTTTATAGGGCTGAACTTGCTCTGACGGCCACCTGTCCATGACAGTCACCTGTACAAATGAGCACTTCCCACTTCTGCCTTTGCAAGTTGTCTGTATTATAAGGACTTAAAAAGGTTGTGAAACTTACTAAACAAACATAATGACTTTGTCCAAGATGACCACCTGCTTAAGACAGTCACTTTCTTCCTCGAGCAGTGGGTGGCTGGCTTGGACAACAACAACAACATCTATTTGTTTTGTTTACTCTTTTGGGGCGGGGAGGGGGGGTTGTTGTTAGAATGGATTGATAGGTATACTTCTATGAGTGATTTGACCGTTTCTTATTGTTTCAAAGGGCTTGTGGGTTTTTTGTGGGTATTTTTAGACAGGTGGTTAGAGGACTGTTTTTCAAAATGAGACTTTTTTATGTCCTAGAATTGGTCAATTTTTGGCCTGTATTGTTTGTGTGTCTCTTTATATGTTTTACTTTGTCTGTGTATGTGAAAGAGGGAGATGAAAAGAAACCTAAAGATTCCTGTTTGTTTGTTTTAGTGTGCTTTCACCTGTGCATCCACAAACATTCTCACACACACATGCATACTGTTGGGTGGTTGGCAAGAGCTCTGGTGTGGTTTGTTCCCTCTTTCCTGTCAAACACCTTGTCCCTCCTCCTTTTTTTGTGTGTTTGTTACTCTCTCGCAACACCTCTAATCTTCAGCACTTATATGACCTAATGGTGCTGCAAGTTTTGTAAAATGCTTACAAAAACAAAACCACATGTGCAAACGTGCTCACAATTTCCCTCTGACACTTTTGACTAGCTTAGTCTAATTCCTTTTTCTTTTTTTTCTCTTTTTTTTCTTTTTTTTTTTTACTATTATCTGTTTTTTGTGACATGTTATAATGTCAGCCTTCTCACACAGACTTGCCATTGGATTCTTTTTCAATGCGCTTACAGGTACTCTTAGATCCCATTTGTAGGTAGTTGGTGATTGCTCTGGTGGGGTTTGCTCCTTCTTTCCAATTCAACATTTACAGTCCTTATCTCTCTCTCTCTTTTTTTCCTTTGTATGTTACTCTATTATTGCACCTCTATTTTTCGGCACTTATATGACCCTATTGTGATACAAGGGTTGTAAAACTCCTACTAAACCTAAAACCTTTAATCTTCGGCTCTTATAAGACCTATTTATTATGTAAGTGCCGTGCAACTCTTACTAGAACTAAAAACTCCTCCATTCACCCTGTCGACTGGTGACTTGTCCACAGGCCATCAGTTCACGGGAAAGTCATCAGTGGAGATGTACCACCAGGTTCTTCTCAGTGGCTGCCGATGTATCGAGCTCGACTGTTGGGACGGCAAGGACTCAAATACGGAACCTGTCATTACCCACGGCTATACCATGTGCACTGAGATCCTGTTCAAGGTATCTTTTTCAAATAGTTTCTCACCAGGTGGCTGGGCGGATATTGTCTGGCCTTTTTTTGTTAAATTTCTTTTCACAGCTCTCAAGACTCTTCCTCATACAGTCAAACCTTCTCTAACGGGCACCTGTGTAAGACAATTACCTGTACAAATAGCCACTTCCAATACCTCCCCTTGCGTTATTTTTACATTGTAATGACAGTGCAAGACATCCACCTGTAGTCTAAAGCAACCACTTTCCTCCACAACAATGAGTGCTATCTTATAGTTTTCTCTGTCATTTGGTGACAGGGGTTTGTTGTGCGGGGGTGTGGTTGTGACAGTGTTTTCTGGCCCGTCTTCTCCTTTTCCCATGTTGAATTATTTCGATTTTCTCTTTTTTTTTCTGTTTACTTTTAAGCTTTGTTTTCTTCATTTATCAGTTCTCTTGGTTAAGAAAAATGTTGTGGTTCATGTTTCCAAGTTGATGCCTGCAAAATGGGTAGCTGATTGGTTTTCGGGTTAAATTAGCTCGCTTTTGCTTTTATTCATATCACAGTTGATATAAAGTCTTTGTCTTGGAAAAATATGACTGTTGTCTTGTGGATTCGACTGTAGGCTATAGCAGCTCAGCAACAGCAACATAAAGAATGTTTTTGAGAAACTTTTGCATTTTTTTTTCAAGACTTGCAGTAATCAGGGCGTTCCATTAGCTCAGCTGGTAATACACTTGACTACAGACTGGATGGCCTTGGTTCAAGTCCCCAACAGGGCGTTCTAAACATGGATTTTTTGGAGTTTTTCAGGCCACCACTCTTTTGTTTTGGTTGTGTTATAGATGGATATTAAATTCGGAGGTCCCGTCTCTTAATATATGCTTTCAGTGTTGAAAGGGGTGTCTGGTACTCTTCTCTCAAATCAAGCAGAACTTGACATGGGGAAATCAAGCACTCATCAAAAAGGATGAAATCAAAGTAGCTGACATTTTACCGCTCGTTGGATAATTTTTTAATCAAATTTTCTGTATTGGGTTCAACACCTTAATGTTCATTTAAAAAACATATTCCTTAGTGGGTTTCCGTACCTTTCATGTAAAAAGAGTAAATTTGCAGTTTACAGCTTTGAAAGTCGCCATTGTCTTGCTTATTTCATTATTGACACCCAGGCGACCCCCTCCCCCTTCACCCACAACTATCTCGACTTCTTATATTCCGGATAGATGGGTCTTTTTTTGTCCATCAAAAGAAGGACAAATGAACCCGCCTTTAAGTTTATTCCATTAGCTCCGTATGCACAAAAATTGATGAGTGCCTGATTCCACCATGTCGTGACATGTAATATTGTTTTATGCTTTCCCGCAGACAGCCTCAGGGGGCCATCATGGCTTAGAGGTTAAGGTGTTCGCCTCTCATTCAATAGGTGGCGGGTTCGAATCCGTGTAGCGACAGAAGATTTTCTTCTCTAAAATGTTCTCCTTTCACATCCTTTCCTGCTCTCTAACAATGAGATGTCGTCTGCTTTCGCCTCTACTTTCTGCCCCCCACCCTTTCACCTCCTTTGTCCCCTCCTCTGGGCTCCTGACTCTTTCTGCAGCCTTTCTACTGTTTCTCCTTGGCTCCTTCTTATTGATCTACGCGCAGCCTTCTCGGACAAGGGCGAAAAATTTCATGTGTGCAAGTTGCGCTCGTTAAAGATCCCTTGGTGATCCAAAATCGATAAGAAGAGGCTTCAGCCGTCACTCCGGCAAAATTATAAATTTCTTAGCAACTGAAAATGTTTAATGTGTCCTACACACTCCTCTGACCATATGCAGTTGCGAGCACCGTAAAACACTTACAAAAAAAAGAATGCCTCAATGACCCAAACTGTGTATCAATATTGTCTTGGACTAATGATGTATAATTTGTCTCTCTTGCACTAGGATGTGATAGAAGCTATTGCACAGAGCGCCTTCAAAACCTCAGAGTACCCTGTAATCCTGTCCTTTGAGAACCATTGCAGGTAAGTTACCTTGATGTAGTTAGAATGCTAACTGATTTTTTAAATGCTTTTTTCCACACAATAGGGAAGTTGGCGTCAACATAATCCGCACAATTATTCTCAATTGTATTTTACTCTCTAGTTATGTAAGTGTCAGCATGTGTAGCTTTTCTCTTGATATGTTTTCCCACTACAGTCAAGTATAAATCAACATGTGCAGCTAATTTTCTTTTTAATTGTGTGCTCATGAAGTACTAACATAAATACTCAAATGAATAGACTGGTCTCTATCATTGTGGTATTCTTGCTTTCCTTTGGAAAGGCATGCATATATTGACTACTGACTTCTAATATGCTGTTGAACAAGTTCTATGCTGATTGCACATGAGAACAAAAAAGTGTGAAAGTCTATTAAATGACATTGTTGGATTTCTCTTGTGTCATGCACACACATTTTTTATTTTTCCGGGGTTTTTTTATACTTCATACTATCACTAATATACTACAGTATTGGTAGTTAAAAGAAATATTTGCATGTGTTTATGTTAATTAAAGTTATAAGTATGCGAAAGAAACTTTTTTTCTTATTTGTGTTATGACGCTATGGAATCGGGCGCTCGTCAATTTTTGGGCATTCGGCATGTGACGTTGTTGGTATCATCTTGAAGCTGATTTATTTGCCTTGCTTCTAATGAAATAAATATCCATTTATGATGAATAGAACTCAAGATATTTGCAATGGAAGGAAGTGAGGTCACCTGGTTTCAATGATGAAATTAGCGAGAAAATGGCCGCCAAAGTTTGGTAACTCCAATAGCTAAAGAGTATTTCAAAACTGAAAAAGGACATATTTTGTGTCTTTAATCAATGTTTTTCCAGTAAATTTGGCATGGAAATGTGTTTTTATATGGACATAAAAGAGGTTAAGCAAAAAAATAAAAGTTGGATAAAAATGTCTAAACTGGTGAAAAAATGCCTGTTTCTCCAATTTTGTTATTTTGACGAGCGCCTGATTTCACCACACCGCCTCACATTTGTATTTGTTTTACTCTGGAGTATAAATGTGTGGAAGAAACGTTTTTAATATTGTAAACCTGTTGTTTTTTCTCTCCCTTTTTCAGCGCCAAGCAGCAGGCCAAGATGGCCAACTACTGCAGAACCATTTTTGGGGACATGTTACTTGTCAATGCTTTGGATACTAACCCTGTAAGTCACAGCCACCAAAGAGACCCGAAGGAAATATTTTTGATGCAAAAAATGGCAAGATCTGTTTTCCATCATTGATCCCAACAGAGACCTTGATATTATAAAGGCTATTGGCCTTTATGGAAAATTGTAATAAACGTTAAATTTTTAAATGTTTTTTAAAAAGTTATTTTTAATTTAGAATTTATTTACTTCAAAATTTTAGCATTTTGTTAGAGGTGTTGACCAGAATCAGGCTGAGCAGTGAACTGTTGCGAATAGAACCAACTTTTTTTTGCAGGCTCATATGACTTTGTGCAGTAGCGAGCAAAGTAAAACTCTTACTAAAAACAAAAACAGTCACAGTCAAGAGGTTCTGCAATGAACATTTGAGTTGTAATTACATCATGCAAGACAAATCAAAAGTAGAATAGCTTATTGCATTCTTCCATTCCATCAGTTACAATAAAAACCTTTTTTTTTCTTCTTTCTTTTTAATTAAATTTTTAAGTTTGCTACATATAGGAAGTACACTGGATGAAGTGTCACAAGTAAAATGGCATATTTATTAGGTACCATTGTGTACTGGCCCAAAACAGACCGAGCTGGAGATCCTTTGTTGCTGCCCTAAACGCCAGATGGCATAACAGGTAGTAAGTAAGTAAGTAAGTACCGTGCACTGTTCTGCTGTGTGCTGGTTGTGGACTCGATCAAGAAATCATTTGCCATAGATGTGAAAGAAGGGCTCCAACGGACACCCTCCTAGACACAGCTAGGTGGTCTTGATTTTGTACATGCTCTGGCACTCTGGGCACACCTGCAGCTGCAGATGCAGAACAAGACTAATGAAGCACTAGCAACAGGAGAAAAACTTGCTCTGAACAAAATGGAAAAGAAAAAATGTTAATGTGGCATTTTTTCTCAATGACTGGCAGTAACTTTAC